CGGCTTGTCAGGGCGTTGAGGTTAATGGAGCAGTTCCAGGAGCTGTGGAAGCTCTGCAGCGGGCTCCTCAAGTCGTCCCGAACGATGCTCTCCGTGTGCCTCCTAGTATTGATAGCCATATACGTTTTTGCCTGCATGGGGGTCGATCTCATCAGCAGCTCGTCAAAGCTCAATAGCAATGAGGAGACACGGCAGATAATCGAGGTCCACTTCTCAAGCTTGGAGGTGACACTGCTCACGCTCATGCAGTTCGCCAATGCCGACTCCCTTGGGAGCATCTATCTGCCGCTCTGCAAGGTGGAACCGGGCTTGGTGTTGTATTTCTTGGCGTTGTGGCTCGTCGTGACTGTCGCCCTCATGAATTTGGTGACCGCCAGACAGTTTGCTGCCGCGTATCTCCTCCGCTGCCTTTCAGAGGAGGAAGCGATAAAGGTACGCACAGATGTTACTATCCTTCCCTCGTTTTCATTTGTTTGGGCCCCCTAGGAGGCTCTCGCTACCACGGCTGGATTCGCCTAGAAATTCTGGTCAGAACGCACCCTGGAAGAGGTCTTGGGAGTAGCGGTATCGGTATCTTTTGGTTTCCCCAGTCTTGAGCAAGTAGCTCGTGTATTCAACGTAGCCGCATGGGTGTGGCGTTGCCTAGCTGAGAGGGCGCACAGAGCTATAAGACAGGAGGGCCGACGCCTGTGTGCGAAGGTGCGGAAGAGCATGTTTCTGGTCGCTCGGGGGGGGGGGGGGGATGGATGGTTGCGCACCTCCTCCCCCTCCCAACCTAATTCACGGGGTGTCTGTGGGGAGGGGGGCTGGCGACCCCCCCTCAACTCCCTCTCCCCTCATGCTTGGGTTGGGGGTGCAGAAACTTGCGAACGCCCTCCCGTCGTTTCGCACCCGGGGAGGGGCGCCTGAGGAGCCGGAGGAGGGACGAGGAGGAGGAGGAGGAAGAGGAGGAGGAGGAGGAGGAGGAGGAGGAGGAGGAGGAGCAGGAGGAAGTCGAGGGGGAGGAACATAATGATATGATGTTGATTCTGCTGATGATGCTGATGATGATGATGATGATGGTGATGGTGGTGGTGGTGATGATCATGACGAGGAGGAGGAGGAGGTGGAGGAGGAGGACAAGTGTACAAACAAGGCGCGTCAACGCTGTTGCAATGAACCCTTCCTTCAAGTTTCCTCTTCATAGGTCTCTACAAGAAGTTATCCTTATTGCGGAGAGCGTCCCATTCAAGGACACCCGTCTGAGAATTCACAAACCTTCCTCAACACCATCCTTGAGATGGCAACACCGCGAGTCAACGTGACTGTTGCGTCATGACCGGCCTAAATCGTACCATAACAAAATTCCTGGAGTTTCAACCATACGAATCGTTGAAGCTGGTGCTAGCTTTTAAGACGAAGGAGAGCCGTGCTAAGGCGAGAGCCACACTCCGAAAAGGAGTCGTCCTCCATCGGACGAACAATCGCACCGCTGAGGCGAGAGCCGCATTTTGAAAACCAGCCGCCCTCCATCCTTGAACCTGTTGCGAACCTGTAGGTCGAATGTGCGCGGCGATGGGCGAGCGCCACATTTTTAAAACGGCCCGCCCTCCATCTCAGAAGCTGTCGCAAATTTCGAGCTTCAGGATCACACATAGTGAGGGAGAGTAAGGCGAAACGCCCGGCCCACCCTACTGACACGTCTGGGGTTGCGACACGGAGGAGTTAACTATCAGGCAAAGGGATGGACGAGGAAGAGGAGGGAGGAGGAGGAGGAGGAGCAGTAGGAGGAGGAGGAGGAGGAGGATGAGGAGGAGGAGGAAGAGGAGGAGGAGGAGAAGGCGGAGGCGGAGGAGGAGGAGGAGGATGAGGAAGAAGAAGAGGAGGAGGAGGAGGGAGAGGAAGTCGTTAGACGCGAGGCCTTCCTTCCTAGATTACTGAAAGCGACCAGCTTGTCAGAGTGAGGGGGCCGAACGGTCATTCATTGTCCCTGGGCGTGTGGCTGAATAAGGAACTTTTGTGAGAATTCTGCTTGTTGCATTGTTGTTGTTGCTGCTGCTGCTGCTGCTGTTGTTGTTGTTGTTGTTGTTGTTGTTGTTTGTCGTCGTCGTCCCACCCGCGACCCACCCGCGACCCACCCCGCGACCCACCCCGCGACCCACCCGCGACCCACCCGCGACCCACCCCGCGACCCACCCCGCGACCCACCCCGCGACCCCCCCGCGACCCAACCCGCGACCCACCTGCGACCCACCCAGCGACCCACCCGCGACCCACCCCGCGACCCACCCGCGACCCACCCCGCGACCCAACCGCGGCCCATCCGCAACCCGCCCGCGACCCACCCCGCGACCCACCCGCGACCCAGCCCGCAACCCACCCTCAAGGGAGGAAAAACCACCCGGATCCGACAATTGACGCCTACTAAACGGCCCTGGGCGTTGACTAACAGCCCTGCCATGTTCAATTCATTTCTTGTGTGCGTTTACTAACCGGCTTCGCTTTCCGGGGTGATTAGTATGGGGTGGATTTTCTGCCCTCTACACCCGCGACCCACCCGCGACCCAACAGCGACCTACCCGCGACCCACCCGCGACCCACCCGCGACCCATTTGCGACCCATCCGCGACCCACCCGCGACCTACCCACATTGGTTTAACGAAAAAATCGGCGCCTGCGGCGGGCTCGTTGTAAAATTTGTAGAACTTCTGCGCCTGCGGCGGGCTTCTCCAGAGTCTCGCAAACTGCCGACGTCCCCACCGCCCCCTCACTCTTATCGGCATCTGGGGGGTGCTACGGTATTAGAACGCGCAGGTGGTGCTTGTAGACATCATCACATCAGCTTGATACCCGGTCATGGCACTCGTCTCGCGGAGGTGGCGGCTTTTGCTTCGCGAGGGACCGCTGCCGAACATAATTGCCACACGCTTGCCGCGCTGCAAGCGCGATGGCGGATCATCGTGGAAAATGCAATGGCCAAGGGGAGGGAGGACGCCGAGGAGAAGCAGACCGCCTTGCGCAAGATGCTGAAGAAACACCTCCCGGATATCGAAGAAGTGTTCGACATTCTTGACTTGGACAACAGCAACTGCTTGTCAATGGCGGAGTTGGAGGCTGCAGCCCAAAACGGCAAGCTGGTACTCCCAGAAGACTTGAAAGAGTACGTCGATCCGTGCAAGCTTCTTGACATATTCTACCTTCTGGACGCAGACCAGTCTGGAATGATCGAAAGGGGTGAGTTCATTGACGGCATCGCTTCTCTCGTGGTGTCCTCCGTGCCCTTGGAGACGACACAGATTCTGCAGCTGCTGCGGCAAAGCCACGAAGTCCTGATGGACACCAGCAAAGCAATTGCAAGGCTGAGCGCATGCAGAACAACACCTTCTGGGCCAGAGGGAGGTCGCTCCTCCCCTCTGATGCCGCCTCTGATTCAGCCAGACTGTAACCTAGAACGCCTGTGACCCCCGAGTGCCGGCACCCTGCGGGCTCCGCGGTGGGCTTCGTATGGAACGGAAGGCGTGCCAAAGGACGCACATTCCAGGCGCCAATTTCGTGGGCATCCTTTCGTCGTCATCGTCGTCGTCGTCGTCGTCGTCGACTTCGTCGTGGTCGTCGTCGTGGTCGTCGTCGACTTCGTCGTGGTCGTCGTCGTGGTCGTCGAGGCATAACGATGAGGGCCTCTTCCGTCGTCGTCGTCGTCGACTTCGTCGTGGTCGTCGCCGTGGTCGTCGTCCTCGTCGGGGGACAGGCCCAGGGGGGGAGGGCGCCGACCTCCGATCGCCCACTCTTCGCCCAAGAGGTTGAGTCGGGCCTGTCCCTCTGCAGGGGACATGTTCAAACTTTTTAGTCAAACATCGCCTGGGGCTTTTTTTTGTTGAAACAAGATCCCTGTTGACAATTTCGGACATGCCCGACCTAACCATAGGGGCCTGATAGCCAACCACGCAAAGGAACACGGCGGTTTCGCTATCAGGGGGGGCCTATCGCCGATCCATCGGCGATGTATCGCCGAAGTCAGCTCGACGTTCCCCCCCTCGAGCCAGTCCCCCCCAAGGCATCCCATGTCTTTGTCATGTTCTTTTCGATCCGCGGCCCCAGAGTTCCCGAACCCTTCCCGAGGGAGAGGGGCAGTTTTGCGACCCTGGTCCGCTCTTGATGTCCCCCGGGCCCAGAAGTGCCCCCCCCCCAGGTTCCAAACAAGGGAGAAATGCAGCGATTGAAGGAATCAGACCACTGGAGGTCGATGATGACGATGACGATGCGCTCTGTATGCAACAAGCATCTTCATCGTCATCGTTATCGTCATCTTCATTGTCACCGTCATCGTCATCGTTACCGTCATCTTTATCGTCGTAGTCATCGTCATCGTCACCGTCATCGTCATCTTCATCGCCATCGCCATCGTCATCGTCATCGTCATCGTGACCGTCGTCGTCATCCTCATCGGCGTCGTCATCCTCATCGTAATCGGCATCGTCATCGCCATCATCATCGAGATCGTCATCGTCATCGTCATCATCATCCCCATCAGCATCATCATCGTCATCGTCATCCTCATCGTCATCGTCATCGTAATCGCCATCGTCATCGTTATCTTCATCGTCATCGTCATCGTCATCGTTACTTGCATCGTCATCATCATCGTCATCGTCATCATCATCGTCATGCTCATTGTCATCGTCATCCCCATCGTCATCGTCATCGTCATCATCATCGTCGGCATCGTCATCGTCATCGTCATCGTCATCGTCATCTCCATCGTCATCGTCATCGTCATCGTCATCGTTATCCTCGTTGTCATCGCCGTCGCCATCGTCATCGTCATCGACATCACCATCCTTATCGTCATCTTCGTCGTCATCGTCATCGTTGTCGTCGTTGCCATCGTCATCGTCATCGTCATCTCCATTGACATCGTCATCGTCATCGCCATCGTCATCCCCATCGTCATCCCCACAGTCATCGGCATCGTCATCGTCATCGTCATCGTCATGGCCATCGTCATCGTCATTGTCATCATCATTGACATCGCCGTCGCCATCGTCATCATCGTCATCGTCATCTTCATCCCCATCGTCATCCCATCGTCATCGCCGTCGTCATCCCCATCGTCATTCCCACAGCCATCGGCATCGTCATCGTTATCGTGATCGTCATCGTGATCGTCATCGTCATCGTCACCGTCATCGTCATCGACGTCGCCATCGTCATCGTCATCGTCATCGTCATCGTCATCGTCATCGTCATCGTTATCCTCGTCGTCATCGCCGTCGTCATCGTCATCGTCATCCTCATCTTCGTCGTCATCGTCATCTTCATCCTTATCGTCATCGTCATCGTCATCGACATCGTCATCGTCAACGCCGTCGTCGCCATCGCCTTCGCCTTCGCCTTCGCCATCGTCATTGCCATTGCCATTGTCATCGTCATCGTCATCGTCATCGTCATCGTCATCGTCATCGTCACTGTCATCGTCATCCTCGTCCTCATCCTCATTCCTGTACTCATCGTCATCGCCATCGTCATCGTCATCGTCATCGCCATCGCCATCGCCATCGTCATCTTCATCGCCATCGTTATCGCGGTCGTCATCGTTATCCTCGTCGTCATCGCCTTCGCCATCGTCATTGCCATCGTCATTATCATCGTAATCGTCATCGTCATCGTCATCGTCATCGTCATCGTCATCGTCATCGTCATCGTTATCCCCAACGTCATCCCCATCGCCATCGTCATCCTCATCGTTACTGTCATCGTCATCGTCATCGTCATCGTCATCGTCATCGTCATCGTCATCATCGTCATTCTCATCGTCATCACCATCGTCATCGTCATTGTCATCGACATCGTCATCGTCATCGACATCGATATCGTCATATCGTCCTCGTCATCGTCATTGTGATCGTCATCGTCATCGTCATCGCCATCGTCATGTTTATCGCTATCGTCATCGTCATCTTCATCGTCATCAACTTCATCTTGATCCTCATCCTCATCCTCATCGTAATCCTCATCGTCATCGTCAGCGTCATTGTCATCGTCATCGTCATCGTCATCGTCGTCGTCATCGCCATCGTCATCGTCGTCGTTTTTGTCTTTGACATCGTCATCGTCATCGTCATTGTCGTCGTCATCCGCATCGTCATCGTTATCGTCATCCTTAGCCTCATCCTCATCCTCGTACTCATCGCCATCGCCATCGTGATCGCCAGTATCATTCCCATCGTCACTGTCATCGTGATCGTCATCACGATCTTCATTGTCATCGTCATCGTCATTCCCATCCTCGTCCTCATCATCATCGTCATCGTCATCGTAATCCTCATTGTCCTCGTCATCGTCGCCGTTGTTGCCATCGTTATCGTCATCGTCATTGTCATCGTCACAGACATCCTCATTATCATCGTCATCGTCATCGTCCTCCTCATCGTCCTCGTCATCGTCATCCTCATCGTCGTCGTCAGGGGTCCCCCCCCGAGTTTTTTCCTTCGCCCTCTGCCGGCGCAGACGGCGGCCAGTGTCCGTCGCGCCTGAAACGGGGGCGCCTCACCGACCTGCTGAGGCGCACACGGCCTTGCGGGCGGCGAGGCTGTGCTCCGCTCCACCGCTGCCGTCCCCTCTCAGAGGATCGAAGGTCGAGGATCGACGAGGATCGAGGATCGAGGATCGATAAGGATCGACGATCCAGGGTCTACGATCGATGAGGATTGAAGATCGAGGGGAATCGGGGAAGAGGATCTAGACTCGATGATGATCGAGGATCGAGGATCGATGATCATCGATGATGACCTGGGACCGAGGATCGAGTAGGATCGAGGAAGAGGATCGAGGATCGATGAGGATTGAGGATCTAGGATCCAGGAGGATCACGGATCGAGGATCGATGAGATCGAGGATCGATGATCGAGGAGGATCGAGGATCGAGGCTCGAGGCGCCCGACGCCACGAAAAGGGCAGCACCTTGAAAAATATCGCCTCTCGGCGCTCGGGCTGGAGCCGGCCCCGTGCGGGCCCCAGGCACGACGCGGGGCACAGTACACATCAGGGGCAGCGATACAGTCAACCCGCATAGTAAGGATGAGCAACTTTCTAAGGTTACCCTTGCATCCTCCTGCTTCGGCCCATCCTTGGCCGCTCTCACTGGCCGCGCCCCGCCCGCAGAGTGTCGGCATGCTCTTCTACGGCCCTTGAATCCTTACAGCACATTCTTATTCTACGGGTTGACTGTAGGGGGGGGGTCGGCCACGCGCAGAGGGGGGCAAGGGGAGGGGGGAAGGCTCCTCGGAAGTACCCCTGCTTTGTATACGGCGCGAGCTTTGCTTGTAGATGTAGGGCCGGCGACTTCTAAGAAACAGCCCCCTTTCAAGAAGTTTTCCCCCCTCTCCCTATCCCCCTGTGCGTGCCGCCAAGGGGGGGTAGGCATAAGGAGGGGGGGACGCATCGACACCCAGTCGCCCATTGATCGCCGATAGGGGTCTCGCAGCCCCGCCCCGCCCAGGGGCGTGCGGGTCTGCTATCGGAGGCCTGTCGCCGATTCCAGGTTGGTCCCCCCCTCCTGTGCCAGTCCCCCCCAAATCGTTGCATCTCGACCCAGACATCCTCCGACACGATTCTATAGGCCTGCGCCACATCCTCGGGGGCCCCCAGACCGTTTGGTGACCCACCCCACCGCGCGGCTTTGGGATCCGGGTCGTTCTCCGAGGACCTCTCTGGCGATCGGGGCCTCCAGGGTCCCAAAACCGTGTGGTGACAGACTGGCGCGGTGAGGTTGTAAGGGATTCCGAGGTCACCACGCGATCCGTCACCACACGGTTTGGGGGCCCCGAACATCTGCAGCCGAAGCCGTTAAGCCCTCAACGAGTCAGAGGCGGTGGTGGTAGTTGTGTGTTTGTTTGTTTGTTTGTTTGTCTGTCTGTCTGTCTGTTTGTTTGTTTGTTTGTTTGTTTGCCTGTCTGTGTTTTTTTTTTGTGTGTGTGTGTGTGTGTGTGTGCGTGCTATTCTGAGCGCTCTGGCGAGGCATCCTGAACGCCCGCAGCCCACGCGTTCGGCGGCGCTGCACCTTCCAGGTGGTGGTGATTCGGTACGGTCAGGCCTTCTCAGAGAGCGGCGGGGCCTCTCAGAAATCCTCGCGCCTTCTGCGAAGACTTGTACGCCTTCTCCGAAGCCGAGCCGTGTACACCACCCCTCTACGGCCCGTGGGGCCGTATGTGGGGTGGTGTCGCTTCTTTTCTAGTCCAATGGAGGAGGGAAGGCCCAGAGGCCAACGAGCTCTCCAAGCACGCTCACCGTGGATATATATATATATATATATATATATATATATATCATATATACACATATGTATACATATATATATATATATAGAGAGAGAGATAGAGATATATAGAGAGAGAGAGAGAGAGAGCCGCGGGGAGTGGCGGAGCCAGCAGCCTATAGAGTGGAGGGCGGGCCTTCGTTGTTC